TTATATTTTTATGTAATATTATAATTATAATATTGTCATAAATATCCATCTATTTATTCCTTGCTCTTCCTAAGATAAAGTAGAAAAAGAAAAGGAGGAAACAGAAGAAAGCGAAGATGAGGAGCAATAACTTTTAAAAAATTTAAACTACATTAACCTAATAGATTTTTCAGTCACTTCTCACTCTTGCATCATATAGTTTCATTTTATCTTGATAATGTTTATAAATACGATAGCATGGACCCTTGTCCCCTTGACAAATATCATTATGGAATTTCAAGTTGCCACCTTACAGTGGAAGTGAGAAAAGTGTTTCTTTCAGAAACTTCATGGAATCCCAATGGGAGAAAGAAAGAAAGAAAAAAAACTAAAAAGAAAAAGAAAAAGAAAAAGAAAAAACCATGACCCACAAGGGAATAGAAAGAAGTAAAATCTTGTGGAAAATATATAATGAAAAAGAGGGAAGATTGCCCACAAAAGAGAGAGAAAGAAGATTGAGTTTTAAGAGATGGTTTTATAAATATGCGTCAATTAAACAGAATGTAGATTGGGACAATTTCTTTATCATGAAGTGACTGCTCCAATATTAGTCTAATGCTTCGTGGTAATTGATTCCCTTAAGGTGAATTAATGTTTAACAATATTTTGTAAACCAAAGCTTGAGATCGAGGGCTATATATTTCTATTACAAAACCAAATCTTTCACTCAAAAGAAAAATGAAAAAGAAAAAAAAATGCAAAACTTGGACTACCTACAGCAACACATGAGCTAGCTATTTTTGATGCCTAGTGCCAATTGACATGTCCCATTGTCCCCCAGTGTACTCACTCTAATTATGAAGCCCTCTGACTTATCTATCAATAACCTGTCCTTCTTCGGGCCTAGGAAACCCTCCATACTTTTCTTTTATATTTTCAACATTTGGAAACAAAATACAATTGTGGAATTCAAATAAGGTTGGCTAGACCGCCCCAGACCAAGACTATAGAAAAGTATAATTACTATAATACCATAAATTTTATTTAAGGGAATTTTGGAGTAAAAGAAAAAAAACTTGTCTTTTGGAAGTCAAGCTAAGTAATGTGGGGTCCTTAAAGACAGTTGGTTTAAGACTTACTAAAAAAGAGCCCTAATTTGGATGGTTTTAGCCATCAATCTTCTCTTCCAAAAGGTTTCTGATTGCAATCATCCGGACCTTTTGGGGATTATGTGGGTCATCGTAAACCATGACTCTGCTCCCAACCCAGTTGCCTACTTGGACAAAGATGATTGGTGGGGTTGCGTTCACGCTGATCTTTTTGTTGGTATTTTCAACGTTTTGGGCTTCAAAGTCTTCCGCCCGCCCCGGCCCCTCCTTCATCTCCTTACATTGACGTTTCAGTAATGAATCCTTTTTTTCTTTTTTGCTTTTTTTTTTTTACTTAGGGAAATTGTTGGGGGGTAGGGAGAGCATTGTCTGAAAATAAATTCTGAAAGTCCTCAGCCCGCCCCGGCCCCTCCTTCCTCTCCTAACATTCATGTTTCGGTAATGAATCCTTTTTCTTTTTTTTTTTTGTTTTTTTTTTTTTTGACTTAGGAAAATTATTGGGGATAAAGAGAGTAGTGTCTGATAATAGATTCTAAAACTTTCACATCCAGACATATTCCCATAAAGGAAATGAACACTAGGTCACATAGTGCCGGATGCTTCGATAATGAATCTAAGGAAATATATAAGAATAGGTAAAATGTGACATATAATTATAATAAATTTATTATTATAGTTTTTTTTTTTACATTTGATAATAATTGATTATATAAGGGGCACTTGGCCCGTGTGGCCTAGTAGCTAGACCTACTAAAAAGTGCACATCCCCCTCCCCTGGGCGGGTTTCGAACCCGTCGCATGACAAAACTGTTCAAAAAAAAATTGATTATATAAGGGGAAATAACTCTTTTTTCTTCCTAAATTCTTCACCACTAGACTCAAATTTTGAATTTGAAATTTTCAATTTAAAATTTTCAATTTAAAATTTTAAGTTCTTATCCATTGAACTAGTGTTTTATATTATAAGTGAATTTTTGAATAAAAATATACATATATAAATAAGATAGTTTTTTTTTATATATTTGATAATAATTGATTATATAAGGGGAAATAACACTTTTTTCTTCCTAAATTCTTCACAACTAGACTCAAATTTTGAATTTGAAATTTTCAATTTAAAATTTTAAGTTCTTATCCATTGAACTAGTGTTTTATATTATAAGTGAATTTTTGAATAAAAATATACATATATAAATAAGTAAATATATATAAGATTATGAATAAATTTTTGAAAGAAAAAATTAATTATATAATAATATATAAAAGTTATATTTTAATTATATTATTTTTGTAGATGTTTTTGTGGCACTAAAATCAAATTTATTTTTCAAAGAAGAAAACAAATTTATTTAGCCTTCGTATAGGAGTTCTATTGTGATGTAATTATCCAACTTAAAATTAATAAATAATATAATTTATTTTGGTATGTGAGATGATTGGTTATGTAATAAGAAATAACTTTTATTTTTTTAAATTCTTTTTTATTTTTTTCAAGATTTGAATTTTAAATCTTCAATTTGAAATTTCAAATTTTTAACTATCGAAACGTTCTTTAAGCGACTTTGGCGGAAGTATGATGTAAACTCATATTACATATTTAATAAAATTACATGTATTTAATTAAAATTTGCCTAAAATATGAAGGTGAAGTGGTGAACCAAATTATCGTGGATAAGGCATGAGATT